GCGTTCGGCAGTGCCTTGAAGGCAAGCGATTTGAAGTGGTCATTGTACGACCGGACGAGGAGATAAACTCGTCATCTCTTCTGGACGAAGCTGACTTGGAGGACACCAAGAGAGTCCTGAACACACAAAGTAGATCGTCGATCCTACGGGAACTCTTGGAACCGTATTATCCTTTGGTAAAGGAATTTCAAGACGTCGTCTCCGAAGATTCGCCTTTGGTCCTACCTCCGGACCGAGGTGTGCGTCATGAGATCGACCTAATTCCGGGAGCCAAATACTGCGTAACATGCCAACTGCCCCTGCCCAAAGAGCAGTGCGAGGTCATTGACGCCTTTTTCCGTGCAAAGCACGACGCAGGGATATTACGTGAGAGTACCTCTATCCATTCGACACCCACGTTTTGTGTTCAGAATTCGAACGGCAAGTGGTGTATCTTCATGCTGACAATAAGCTTAACACTGCCACTATTCCGGCACAGACGCCGATTTCTAGAAAGAATGTTCTTCGGAACAACATGGTGAGATATACGAAATACAGTGCATTCGACTTGGTAGATGGGTATTACCAATTACTCATGAGAGTAAGTGACATTCCGCTAACAGCGGTGAGCACTCCAAGCGGCATGTTTGATAGTGATTGGGGATGCTCCGAGGGCTGTCAAATGCACCAGCAACATTTAATCGTCTTGTGACGCGGATGTTCAGGTCCCACAGGGTGTATAAACTAACATACTTTGCCGACATTTTCGTTCATAGTCGTGCGGAGCACGGGTGGACAGATGAGAAGAATCACATCGTCCATTTGAGAGCGGTGCTCGAGTGCATGCGCACGAACAAACTGTTCGCCAATGCAAACAAGTGCATCTTCGGCGCAGAAGAGATTTTCTTTATATGGTGCTTCATTGGGAAGCGTGGCTTTTGAGAGGATCCCGCTAAGGTCAAGGCAATTGTAGATTGCTCGGTTCCAAAGAACCAGAAGGATTTGCGTAAGTGGCTTGGTGTCGCCAACTACTTGGACAAGTACAGCGTAAACTACGCAGAAATGGCCCGGCCATTATCCAATCTCCTTGAAAATGATGCGGAATGGTGTTGGACCACCGAACATCAGGAGGCTTTTGATGGGGTCAAAGACAGCCACCTGCATGCACCGATACCGGCCTTTCAGCGTCGTCTGTGACGCTTCGGACTTTTACATCGGCTCTGTACTGCTGCAAGTAGACGTCGAAGGGCCAGATCGAGTGGTCGCGTTTGAATCTCGACAGCTCAAAGCTGCAGAGAAGAACTACCCAATTCATGACAAAGAGCTATTTGCGATGAAGTATGCACTTGCCAAGTTCAGGGTCCACCTGCTCGGCTCCAAGCCGTTTGTGATCTATACAGATCATGCG